AAAAGAACCAAGCTCAGAGAACCCCAAGGACTCCACAGGACTGCATCTCATCTGTCTAACAATTGGTTGTCTTGGTGGGGTGATGGGACACATAATCCAACACACGTGGAGGGCATCGGATTGGCAGCAACTGCTGCAGTGGTCAGATTCCTGAATGGCTGGATGGGCATACTTAAATTTTAATGCAGTTCTGTACTGTGCAAATACACTTACATGCTTGCTAAGATGCTACGTGGCCCCCAGTTTCTCATCCTCTGCTCAAAAGTACATGCAGTATATTTTTAAAGATTTATATTCTGTTTGTCCACTTCTAAGTTCAGTATCACAGTTAGCAACCCTAATTTTAAAACTACACAGTACTGCATCAGGATATCAAAGCAGTGTCAAATAATATTTGGTTCAGCAGCTGTCTAAACAGAAAGGTTTTTGCTGTAAGAAAGGGTGCCAATTATGCCATCCAGGGCAAAGAGTTCCAAAAATTAGACTTTGCCATACTTTCTTGTCCCCATCAACTGGGCTTTCACCATAGTTTGGACAGAGGAAAGAGTTTGTCTATCCAAAGGCAACCTGTAAGATATCCAGGACTTAAGCCATTTAAGACTTTAAGAATGATCAACGGTCCTCATCATCGAGCCTGGAAACAATATTGACAACCTGTGCAGATGTAATATAATGCCACCCAGTGCAAGTACCTAGTAACTTTGCTGCTACATTCTGAGCAATTGCCATTTGCAAAAGCTCTTCCACATGAAGCATGTTACAGGTGTTTCATCTAGTTATAACTAAAGTAATCCAGTGATCAGAATGTCAGATTTGGTATCTTGACCCTTTTTTGATGAGGTTTAAAAACCATGCAGGATAAAACTTTAAACAATATATAGTGTGAGCGGCAAAACATTGGTCAGTGATTCTTGGTATGAGAATTGGATAGTTATGCATGTTCTTATTTTAATCTGTGAAGAGCGCATGGCATCTCTCTGAAATCAGACTCTGAGGATGGGGAAGGCTTTAATACTAAATATGTGCCTGTCTTAATCCTGGGGCTCATTATCAATATTAGGTTATACAAAACATTTCTGCATAAGTCTGTCTAATTGAATGGAACTTACTTAGTGCAATGACAATAGAGAAGAGTTTCGGGGTATATGCAAAATAGGATTATTCCATAGTTTTGCCTGATTATTGTTAGACTTCAGAAGATAAAACCCTTGAAGCACAAGTTAGGCTTAAGCTTCTAAGCCAGTGTTTCTCAGTGTTGGCAACTTTTAAAAAAGTTGGCTTTGTGTTCCCCAACTACCCCCACCACCACCCACGCCGGGGGGGGGGATTGTGGGGGGGTTGTTTTTCTTAT